TTATGAGGTGTACTACGTGATGGTATGGTAACGTAGCGGGAAACGCTTCAAGTTCGTTTGTTTTCACCGCCGGCCGCAGCCGACTTGCAAGACGTCACCACCGCATCGAAAGGTAAGGCAAGTGCGGCGAAACGCACAGATTTGGATCCAGCTTTGGAGTGTTGGTGTCTTGGTGATCAAGCAAGCAATGGTCAGTAAAGATTCGTGAAAAAAAGACAATATTTCAATATCGATTTTATCGGTAACGAGGGGGGGGGATACTTGAATGTTGATGCACAAGTACGTAGCTTTAATGTTTTTAATACGAAATGCGCCGAACACTTCTTTAATAGCGCCCGCGCGATTGACCCATGGTCATGGAGAGCAACAATCATACAGGCGGAGAACTGGGCGGAGTATTTGGGTGTAGAGGTGCTACCGAATTTAAAATTTGACACCGAAACCAATTAACACAACAACAAGACTACTGGGATCAATGGGACTTTCGATTCCGAACAGGAGAAAGTGACAAGTTTGACTGCGTTTCAAGTAATCTCTCATTATGTGATAGATGTTTTTGTCACAAAATCAAAGGAATAAACACTATTAATTTGTACTCCGTAAAACTTATAAGTACAGTCTGTTCAGAGGAAAGAAAGACTTCCTTCTCGGGGTCCATGTTCTGGAAAGCTGTCCTCAGCGCTGCGCATGCCACGGCCCTCTCTGTGTTCTTCAGCTGTAGGTGTACTTTGCCTGTCGGCGCGCCAAACACCCCACCCACCGGCCGGGCGGTAAGATTTCATCAAAGGCTACATTTTAAGTTAACTCCGCCCCTATCATTGTAGCTTGCCGAACAGTCGAGTAGGAGTACATCTAGCTGGAATTTTCACGTCGTACTGGCTGGTGTAGCCCGCTACAAAGTAATTTCCTGTGGCATTTATCAAGATTTAAAAGTATTTGTGATACGAAGTGAAACATGGTTAACAATTTCTGAACCTTTGAAACGACATGGGCATAATCTTTGTTGAAGATTCCTGAGTTGAACTCAAGCCGGAAGTGTATTGGAAATGATGACCATCAGTCGAGGCACAACTGTTATGTTATCACATGTTACGTTACGACGATCAAGAACGTTCACGGCTTGCGGACCATTTCAAATATTACCACTCATAAACCCTACAATTGTATGTGTACTTATATTTTTGCCGGGGTTCCACTGAGATCGGCGCCGGCTAGCTGGGGAACGATCCTGTCGGCATGACAAAGCGCCGGGCGTCATTGCCAGAGACCTACATTTTCTTACCGTGGGTGACTTGACTTCTTCTTTTACCGCAACTTGGTGTCAATATCGACGATAGTCACAGGAAATATGTTCATTTATTGAAGTTTAACTTTATTTCCACTCGTCAATATTTTTATCTAAACATGCTATGGGCGATCGATGTTCCAAGCTCCCCGTGCCGGTGTTCCGCTATATTCCTGGGTCGTCCACGGATTTGTCGGCGGAAAACTCAAATAAAGTACGCACCGCGACTTTGGCGGCGGCCCGAGACACTTCTGGGATTTTGAAAAATGTAAAAAGTGCGTACTATATTCGGGAATTTACGGCGTATTTCTTGTAATTCGGTACTACGCGACGCCATATTTTACAAAAGTTTTTCGGTGGCCCTCCCCCCGGCTCAAATTTTTTTTCCATGGCCCTCCCCCCAGGCCAAAATATTTTTCAATGGCCCTCCCCCCCAGTGCACCAGCCCTCCCCCCCGGTAAATATCGTACAGTCCCTTACGTTCGGATCCTAAAGTGATTGGTCATTAATTATACTGATGAAGGCGACAGTGGTCGTTGAAAAGTTTATCCCTGTGTACTCTTTGTGTTGTAATAGAATTGAACTTCAGGTCTAGTATCATTACAAGTGTAGCAAATGAAGAGCCTAACCTCCACATGTGAAGCTACACGCAGGAAGAAGGCGGCTAGGTAGATGATGATGATGAGCCAAGTCGTTATCCCCATGGCGGACAGGCTGGCCAGAGGTCCCAACTTCACCATCAGCCGTCCTTCTTCCACCAACATCCCTGAAGAGAATAGCAAAATAAAACTTCTCAAATACAGATTTGAATGAAGTTTGTTTTGGAGGAGCGTTGTGAATCGGAGATTGTACAGAGACTAGCAGATGACAAACTTGTATCATTCAAACTCACCCATTATTAGTAACACTCTTTGTACAAATGAGATTGTTGGAATGTTTACCTATAATCCAGACAAAGATGATCCACTCCAGTACTGTTCCTGCAGGAGCCAGCTGACCACCCTCAGGTCCATCATATCCGACTTTTTCTGCCCTAAACGAAATAAACTGTATGTACTATATGTTATGATATCTATACTAGTATGCTGTGTGTAATACTTTTTAAGTCCCCATCAGTCAAAATATTCTTCGATGTGGTGAAGTATATAGAAAATTATTGAACTATACTACATGTCAAATACTCTCGCTTTTAATAGCATTATAATTTATTTTCTAAAATGTCAAATCAGACCGCAGACATTCGCTTACCTCAGGAAGATGATGATGATGAAGGTGAGTACGGAGGCCAGGTACATGGCGAACCTGACTGAGGGCGTGCGGACGAAGCGCCCTGGGCCACACGTCGGCGCAAACAGGTAAGCCAAGACCAGGAATTGTGTGAGCAGCATCAGGACAAAGCCGCGGAGGTACTCCGCCATGTTGGTCGCGGGTTTGAAGTACTTGTCGTACCAGCACTCCTTCACCAGGCGCTGGCTCCACTGGTGCGCTACAAACTGTGGAGCAGAAAAAATTGTTTGTTTGTTTGCTTGTTTTATTTACCAGGGGATACATATCGCCTGAGGGCGCTTTTATGGATGCTCCAAGTCTCAGGTTTTCAAAAGCAACTTTTTAGGACAAAATGTTGTGTGTGTGTCTGTGTGTGTTTGTAAGTGCGTTGTTGTTAAACCTGCCTTCTTTTGCTCGTGATCGACAGCCATGTTCAGTCGTGAGAGCTTCACTTTGCAGTTGTCCCCGTGTGTCAATGGTGAAACTTCGTCTCCACAGTTCAAGATGGCGGCCGCCTCGTCTCGGTCCCGAACTTGGTCGAGCAGATCGACGCCCAAACTTCGGCATTCTTCGGCTATTTCCGCGTAGACTTCTTCGGCCTCGGGTGTCGTCGCCCCGACGTCCTCCAATCCCGTGCTGAGTACGAAGGCCCGACGGAGAGGGTCGTCGTTGGTGAGGAGGATGTAGTAGGGACTGGCCAGGCCGCGGTACAGGTTCTGACTGGCGTGTTCGCCTTGACTGAAGGCGGCAGGGTCGGGGATAAACTGTCCCTGGTCGACCAGGACCTTGATGAGAGGAAGACTGTTGTTGTGACTGGCGAGAACAATCGGCGTCATTTCAGACGGGAAGGCGACGGGCGGGGATGCGTCCTGAACCAAAGATTTTTAGAACAAACATTTAGAAGGATGCCAACCAATTTTTGTTGGCCTCCCACTCAATAATAGATGAATGCTCCACACGAGGCGTATATGGTGGCATAAGGCTTACTTGCCGCTTAGCCTATACACCTCGGGGTGGTACATCAACAACAATCCTTTGTCATCCATTAGAATAAGTTTGTTATGAAACAAGATTTTTAAGTTGTATTTACATTTTTGTTGGAATATTTCAGGAGCTTCTGGACCGCAGCCATGTCTTCCTTGTCTACCGCGTACATCAGCGCCTCTCCCGGCTTGGCGCCGTACTGCAGCAGCACTTCAGCCGTTTCTAGGTGACCTGTCAATGGAAATGATATTACACTACTAGCCTTTGATTGCCGCTATCTTTTCTTTGTATGGTCTTTTAAGACACTTTGCAGCGAGACGAAAGAATCTGTATCGCCGTTATAACCGCCCTTCGGCGCAACAGCGGCAGCTGGCTACATTACACCGAACGACGTGTTACACCTAACCCTTGAACATTTAACCCTAAACATTGTTTAAAGCTATCTACTGATATGCCCCTACTGTACTTGGTTCCACTCTGCGATAGTTCTAGAAAATAATTAATTCTTGAACACCTCAATCCTTGGTTGATAACTCTGGTACTTGAAGGCATGACGACTATTTCTTGTTCTTTTCTGAGCTGGTATTAGGTACTTAGTAATTGGTGCGTCCACCAGTTTATTTGTCATTTTGTACATGGTGATGTAATAGTTATGAGAAAAAAAACCAATACCTCCATCGACGGCCAGTTCCACGGCAGATCTCCCCAGCACATCCCTGCAGTTGACGTCAATGTTCCCCTCGCCGTTCGTCAGCAGGTCGCTGACCGCCTCCACGTCTCCTGAAGCGGCGGCCGAGAGAAGCTGCTTCTCCGCCACAGTCAGGCCTCTCTCAGCCCCGCTCACCTTACTCATGTCTTCACGAATGTGGATGTGATTCTCCATTTCTGGAACGAAGAATAGGAAGCTTTAGGACTCTTAAATTGTTCAATCACTGATCTGCGGCAAATGTGCATCACATTTTGCAAAGATCACAGTACAAGCTTGTACACTACTGTCTAGATAAAATTGATTATTCACAAGAAATGTGAAAAGGAGTGGAAGAATGTCAAGAAACCAATATCGTAACTTGTGTTTACGAGTATGTTTTTGCTTTGGAACGTAGTAACACCTGGTTGGGATAAAGAGAACAAACAATATGAATCACTCTCATCATACTGGCTTCTATGGTCTCTTAGCAACAAATTCCTTTTCTAAACCTACCGATAACCCCACGTTGTGGGGCTTGGCAGTAGTGAAGAAGAAGACATGGTTTTACCTATTCATAGCTCCTAATGAATATTTTATGTAACTTAGTCAATTGAATTTAGGTCATGTGTATTTAATATGGAGGCAGGTATTACATATCTGTCCGCAAACCACCTAGAAAACAATGCTCTTAAGAGAGACTATTAGGCACAAGATCTACGTTGGACGCAAAACTTGCAATATCTTTTAACATCTATTGTTTTCCGTGCCTTCTGACCATCGGTTTACATGGATTGTGGACAGCTAATCTAGTTTTAGTTGGTAACGTGGTTTTGTGTTCAGCTATTCAGGTCATTAGAGAATGATAGGATCTGCACGGCAAAGAGCCATTCTTTTTTCCCACGAGACCTTTGACTACCAGGGACAAAGAGGTCAAACCTGAAGAAAGAGATGGGAGTAAAGTCTCGGGACAGGCGGGTGGATTATCCATGGCTCACGTTCTCACTAAATCCCTAGCTGGAAACTCACAAGTTGCTTGAGATCCAATGATAAGGATTGGATGGAGAAATAGTGAATCTTCCAATTTACTAAACGTTAGCTTCCATATACAAATGTGTAGCGGGCTTTTATTTCTTTTCCCGTATTTTGTGTTGTTTTCTAATTGTATATACAATGTATATATATACACGACTGTGGACTGTTAGAAACAGGGTACGCCTAACGCAAACGAACTAATACAAACTCTGCTTATATAGTCTAGCTGATACTTCACTTCAATGTTACTTATATCTTTCCAAACAGTATTCTCGGTGCAAATAAAGATCAACAAGACAGATACATCCCTAATGGACCACAGGAGAGTGTTTTTCTGAAAGTTTATCAAGGTCATCACACAACATAAAAGGATTATCGTTTTCTGTATCTGCGTAGCCGATATAACTGCCCTTGGGCGTAACACATCGGCTTCGCAGGCACGCGGCGCAGCGGCAGCTACACCGAACGACTTGAAACACCTGACCCCACCTCAGGCTGCTTGACAAGGTAAGTTAACGCCCTGATGAGGGCGTTTTGCACGGAGGGCTGACTCAAGGGAATGAGGTCAAACATTTGCCGCACATTGCAGCACATAATGTCACCATCGGTGTGCAGAAAAAAGTTTTAAAAACGAGTATTTAAATCTTAATAGGTTCTATAATAACTATCTACGTGTGTAGTGTGTGTTTCTGGTCATTATCAGATGAGTGACTACAAACCAAAAGGACGAACCGGTTTTTGTTAGTCATGCACAATTACGCTAAAAGGGACAAAACGTTGCGAACGAGAATGGTGGCGTGAGAATGCATTTACTTACGTAACGTTATGTTCTAAAAACACAGTGAATGTCGTTGAAAGGCGCCTAAACTCTCAGAAAAATAAGCGGAAGCGTAAACCTCTGCTTGGAGAGTAACAAACACATAGGTAACTCGAATACATTGTAAAAGCGTACGAGGTAAACCTGTGTACAAACGACTACAGCCATTTCTTCGAATTCAAGGTCTTTGGTGTTACTAGACAAACCTCGCCACTGGTAACCGCTACTAACGTTAGATACAGTTTAAAATGAAACTTAAAAGTAGAGCGAAAGGATATTTCAAAGGCTTCTTACCTTAGCTATTCACTGGACGTCGTCAGGCAGAAATGGCAGATTCCAAAGTGACCAGTCCCTGTCAGTGAGGGTTACCTTATAATAGCACCCTCTGCCGTGTGCGGGCCAATTGTAAGAAAGGTTGCGTTGTACGTCACACGAAGTCAACGCCCTGTCTCTTGAAGTCCCACAAGGACAGTAAGGTGAACGACCGAGGTCATGGCACTGTAGTCTCTAAACTGTGCTCTGTCACTCGTACTACATGTACGAAGGTCGTTCAAATCGTTCGCTACCTCACCCGCAAGGCGTGGCTAAAATTTAGGGGCACAGAATGTAAGGTGTACAATCTTTTATCAATGCCCAGCAGAATTGTCACGGTGATTAGTTAGTTTCAAAAGACGGACTTTTGAAAGATTGAGACAGTATATATTTGAATCCATGTGCCACAATGACTATATAATGGTGAAATTACAGTACGCACAACGACAGAAGTACCTTACACGTACAGTAAACAATACATACATACATACATACATGTGGTACATGTACATGGACAGTATACGATATACAAACATACTGCTTGGGGTGATGATACGACGTCTGCACAGTGCTTCACAGTTATACAAATAAACATAACATTTTATCTTATCTTGATAAGTCTCCCAGATTTCAAATCATATCATGTCAATCTTAATTAGTACTGATAGCAATACGTGATTTCTATTAAGCACTATACACACCGCAGTATAACTCTGCCATAATTACTTTTGTCGGGTGTTACAGCTCTTTTTATACGATTTTCTTAAAAGTTTTCAGTTATTTTTCTGACAAAACTACTTTCTTATCATTACTTCTCTGAAGATACAAAAGACGATCAAAGACCTCTAACACGAGTGTTCCTCTCCTTCCGCTTCTTCCTGTTGAGGCCCGACCAAAATCTTGGCCCAAACGCCCTCCCCGGCCCCGCCCACTTGTTTACGCTTGGACGGTTCCGGCGAACCCACAGGCATGCCGTCTGGTTCCGCTTTAATTGACGTTTCGGTTGTCATGGTGACGACGGGCTCGTCAGTGGTGACGTCTGCAAAGATCGGCTCGACGCCCTTCTCACGTGCGTGGAGCAGCAGGTAACGTCTGACCAGCCGGGATAGGACGTCCTGTTGCGAACAGAGGGGGTGGGAACATGAAAAAGGTAACATTTGCAAGGCAAATGCCTAATGTTTACCTTCGTATATGGTCTGCTCTGTTAATACTTACTCAAACACATTCATATATATGGTCAGACACATTATTAAAGTTTCTGGCATATGTTGTGCAGATTAATATTGCAGAAAAACAATAAACTATACCTTGTACCGACGGTTGTTTTCTGCCTTTGCTTGCAGCTGCAATGATGAAGAAAAGATATATATTAGGTAACAAAGGATGAAATCATAAGCATCAGTACTTTCATGCAAATACGGAATACAAAACGTCAATAAAATTGAGAACTCAAACCTTGCAATGCTGGTCGGATTTATATCGGTTCTTCTGGCAGAACCTCTTGATGACGTTGTTGTAGATGAACTTGGGAGTCGGGATGAGGTTGAAGGGGACGGGGAGAGTCGTGTCGTCACGGATGTATCGCAGCATCAACTTCGTCACTTCGAAGCGCCACTCGGTCGTCTCGTTGTCCTGGAAAGAAAAAAAAAATAGATATCCAAATTAAAAAACAAACAATATATATGTACTCACATGTACTTGTGTTCGTTTGTGCTAAATGTAGTAATATCGTAAATGCTTTATAAAGGTAAGCTTTTTCATATCGCCAGGAAATCATCCTGTCCTGCCATTTGTCTCGTTGTCCTGAAAACACAAAAGTTGTTGCATGAAGAACCTTGTGTTTTTTTGTCGTTTGTGGACTTGCGTGTGTAAGTTAGGGTGGGGGTGGCGGTCCTTTTGTATAATACCATGTTTTATCATTTCGATGGGTACCCTTAGATAGCTACGTTTAACTAAACAACAGTATTATCGCGGCCTTCCCAAGAAAGTCTAAAGCACCTGGATAATGGTTTCACCGTTTTTTATTACTAACGGGGTGGTCTATGCGAACCTGGCATAACTAATGACAGTTGTGTCTGTTTGCGTGTGTAGTCGGTAACCTAATTGGCCAAAGAAATCAATGTGGAAGTAGGCCTTACCGCGATTTGTTGGTAGGAGTTACTCATCATGGCGATGAGCATGTTGAGTAGAACGACCACGGCTACCACCATGTACAGCCCGTACAGAGCCTCACCTATGTACATGGTCAGGGTGTGCTCCTGTAGGTCGCTGCCACTGTTGGCCTTCGGGTTAATGCTCAGGTCGAGGGTGTCTTTACTCCCCAGACCAAAGAGTGACCAAAACAGCTCTTCAAACGCGCCTTGGAACCTGGAGAAGAGAAGGATTTTCAATCAACATTTAACCTTGGATAAAAAGTGCAACTGTCGTACTACTTGTTTCGGTGTCAACAATCTTTATCAAAAGAAATTTAAGATTTTTGAATGATAATTAATTGAGTCATCTTTATCAAAAGAAATTCTAAGATTTTTGAATGATAATCAATTGAGTCATCGCCGAAACTTGTATATAAATCATAAAAATGTGGACCTTTGTCATTGCAGTCCAATGTACCTACGTACCTGTAAAACGCATTGCTGGTATCACAGTCGGTATTCACTAGCGGCGAGGTGAAGTTTGCGGACGCTGTGGAACAAAGCGAGTCGATCTGCTGACCGTAGAAGTAGTACAGTTCGTTCAGCGCCGCGGAGAACGCGATGACGATGACGAAGAAGATGACGAGAAACTTGATGATGTCCTTGACCATTCGGCTCATGGAGAGGGCCAGCGGGCCGAGGATGCGGTCCAGGATGAAGAGGGGCAGGAGCCGCAGGATGACCAGCACGCAGCCGATGGACGTCAGGGCTTCGGCGATGAGAGTCGTGTCGTAAGCGTCCCATCGGAAACGGAGGATGCTCTTCGGTCCACCATGCTGCGGGAAGAGGCAAGCGTAGCATCATCAGGTGGGCTTAAAACTCAAATCGATGTAGATTTTAACTTGATTTACCTTTGCAACGACTTAAAGATATTCGAAACCAACTTGGAGCCTGATAAAACTAGTTTTCACACACATTAACGGCGTCAAGTTACTGCCTGTACTTTATCTAAGATCTCAGGGTACTTGTGTAATGTAATGTATCTGTCGTATGCCCATCAACCTTCATTGAGTCGGGGCGGGGGCCGATACAGACTTCCTACAACCTCTGACCCGTTGGTCACATCCTCGGAAGATCATACATTCTGAGCAATGGGGTCTTTAGTTATCACGAAGAAGACTGGTCCAAAATTTGACGAGCCTTTTTGAAGTTAAATCCTTCTCAATTATGCCTTCACACACACACACACACACACACACACACACACACACACACACACACACACACACACACACACACACACACACACACAAACAAACAAACAAACAAACAAAGAAAAACACTTGGCCTAACCTCAACAGAAGCTGCAACCCTCAGAATAAAAGCTGCCAGGTAGATGATGATGATAAGCCAGGCCGTCACACCATTGGAATTTAGGGAAGCTCGCGGACCTAACTTTACCATGAACCTTCCCTCTTCCAACAGCAGAGCTAAAGTCAAGTCAAGTCAAGTCAAGGAAAACAGTATTGCATAAGATTATTACTTTCTCTATATGTACATTTTACACATGCTTTTAGGGACTAAAAGGCTTTGCATATGGAGTAAATAGCTATACAGTTCTGCAATCGAGAACTAAAACTGCAAAATGGCAGAAAAACTCTGAAATTTGTTTATTATTATCTTGAGTCAAATACAACGTGTAAATAAGAGAATTCCTACCGAGAATCCACACAAAGATGATCCACTCCGGTACTGTCCCGTCTGGTGCCAGATGACCTCCGTCTGGCCCGTCGTAGCCGACTTTTTCTGCCCTGTTGCACAAATTCAGTTTGTACAGATCAATAGTTTCATACTTTCCATATGTTAGAAAAACAGTTACTCAAGCAACTGGATATGATTTTGAAAACGTCAGACGTTTCAGCTAGTATCCACTAGCTTTCGTCAGTGACTGAGAGACCAGAGGGGAAAGCAGGTTTATATACACAACCTGTTGATTGATATGCAAATAAAGTGAAGACAAATCAACAGGTTGTGTATATAAACCTGCTTTCCCCTCTGGTCTCTCAGTCACTGACGAAAGCTAGTGGATACTAGCTGAAACGTCTGACGTTTTCAAAATCATATCCAGTTGCTTGAGTAACTGTTTTTTTGGCATATCGTATTACCTGGATGTCTAACCTTCATCGACGTTTCCATATGTTAGTTATGTTCACGGTAGAGAGTGACGCGTTTTAGCAACGATTTTACATAGGCTTATGTTCGTTTGGAGTGACTTACATATTTGTATAACTTTTCTGTTGCTTCTGTTCCTGCTTACTGGAATTTTGAACATGATCATCTGTACGTATTTACCGCATGATGACCAGGAGGATGAAGACCAGGACGGAGGACAGGTACATGGCGAACCGGACGGCCGGTGTGCGGATGAAGCGGCCGGCGCGGCTCTCGGGTGCGAGGAGGTAGATCAGGGCCAGGATCGGGGTCAGCAGCAGCAGCGTGCCGGCGCGGAGGTACTTAGTCAGGCTGGCGGTCGGGTTGAGATGCGGCCCGTACCAGCACTCCTTCATCAGCCGGTGGCTCCATCTGTGTGTCACGAACTGTACAACAATGGGACAAACATAGCATATAATTAAACTATCATGAAGTTCATCTGCGTTGATAGTTACCTGATCGTGCTGAAACGTTTGTTCCAACACGAAAAAGAATTAAGTGTTTTCAACTTCTCACCTAGAACTTTCGACCAGTCACTCTGGTCTTCCTCAGTAGGCTGACCCAGTGAGACATGTCACGTGGCTTCTCTAAAGTGTGACGTCAACACTGGATCAGTCTACTGAGGAAGACCAGAGTGACTGATCAAAAGCTCTGGGTGAGAACGTTTACCTTTAAACAAGTATCTAATTATCATAATTTGCTCTTGCGGCATTACCTCGCTTACAGACAGAAAGCCATGTATAGTAGCTAAATCCTGGTTCTTTTACCTGAATTATAAGTGTGATTATTTAGACTACCTTTTTTTGCTCGTGATCCACAGCCATGTCCAGTCTTGACAGCTGCATCTGACAGTTGTCACCGTGTATCAGTGGTGAAACTTCGTCTCCACAGTTCAAGATGGCCGCCGCCTCGTCTCGGTTCCGAACTTGGTCGAGTAGACCGACGCTTAAGCTTCGGCATTCTTCGGCCATCTCCGCGTAGTCTTCTTCCACTTCGGGTGCCTTCGCCGCTAGATCGTCTAGCGTTGTGCTGAGTACGAAGGCCCGACGGAGAGGGTCGTCGTTGGTGAGGAGGATGTAGTAGGGACTGGCCAGGCCGCGGTACAGGTTCAGACTGGCGTCGCTGGAGATGTGGTCACTGCCGAGGACGGCAGGATCGGGGATAAACTGTCCCTGGTCAACCAGGACCTTGATGAGAGGAAGGCTGTTCTTGTGACAGGCGAGAACAATCGGCGTCATTTCAGACGGGAAGGCGATAGGCGAAGGCATGTCCTAGAATGAAAAGAAAAATATAGTACATGTACCTTCAGATTTTGGAACTGGTCAAATCTGAGTAGCTGTCGAGCTACATCTCTCTTTATGGCCTCTTATATGTTATCATCAAGTACCCAACAAGAACAGTTGTGCCTAAAAGACTTGTCATCTGTAACCAAGCAGAAAATTAAAAAAATGCTCTTGAGACAACATCCAGACGCATCATGCTCACCCCTGTGGTGGAAAATTTCAGGAGCTGCCGAACCGTAGCCGTGTCTTCGTTGTCTACGGCGTACAGCAGCGCCTCTCCCGGATTGGCACCATACTGCAGCAACGTTGCAGCTACTTCAATGCGTCCTGCGTACGGTTACATGATCAACGTAAATTCATACATGACAGCATGCACACACACACGCACACACACACACACACACACACACACACACACACAGAGAGAGAGAGAGAGAGAGCGCGCAAGGGAGACATACATACTACACACACATACACGCACAAAGACGAGCGCACACACACACGAACATGTACACACAGACGTACAAGTACATACCTCCATCGACGGCCAGTTCCACGGCAGATCTCCCCAGCAAATCCCTGCAGTTGACGTCAATGTTCCCCTCGCCGTTCGTCAGCAGGCCGCTGACCGCCTCCACGTCTCCTGAAGAGGCGGCCCAGAGAAGTTGCTTCTCCGCCACAGTCAGGCCTCTCTCTACCCTGCTCTCCTCGATCTTGTCTTCCGGAACTTCGATGTTATTCTCCATTTCTGCAATGAGCAAGAAGAAACTTGCTTTTGGGGTATTAAATCGTCAGTCTTTGATCTGAGCATGAGGGAAATGTGTACATATTGATGTTTTGAACGTGTTCATAGAAACTAATAGTACGTAAACTAATAGTTGCATTGCATGTTCCACATGCATTTTGTCAATAGACTGAGATACAACGAAAAATAAAACTTCTGATTTCTAAGAAATAAAGAGGAACAAGATGCAGATACAGTGGGGAAGAGAGCCCTGGTGTATGGAGAGGTGTATTTAGAACGTATACTGTCTAACCACGTACCCACCTTCCTAACGTCGGAGACAGACTACTGTACATGTACTCAGGCCAGCTTGAAATGTGTGAAGTAAGCCTTAAGGCTAGCCATTTAATGATTTGGAACATGCCATTGTGAAAGGGGGCGCAGGCACTGTCTTTTTTTAATCGCAACCCCAGTTTTCTTTCTTTCCATTTCATAACACAAATCAATACATTCCGGAACAGAATGGCCATCATTAATTCATTAATTTATTTACAACGCAAATCATCCTGGAGTGTCACAAATATACTGTACATAACAATGAGGTCAGGGAACAACCAAAACCATTTCCTTCTTGTTAATACTCAAAAGTAACTTAAGGTATACTACATGGCTGTGAACAAATAGTTTTCCTAGACTTTGCTACTCGTATGCTGTATGTCCGTACCTTGGTAACACGGTTTGGGATCGGAATAACAAACCAACTAATCCTCACATTCAAGATACGAGCGAGAACATCATAGCAACAACTCATGTGAGATTACCTGTACCATTAAAAATGCATTACTTACCACTCAATATAACATGACACTACTGTGTAATCTGACCCGATGACATTTGGAATTCACAGAAAGAAAAGAAGAGTCGTCCTTTGGAAAAAGGTACTCACCTCACGTTGTCTATACACGACTCATCTTAAGGGAACAGGTAAGACAACTAAGGAGGAAGACAACAACCCTTGTCTTGTCAATCTAGGTCACTTACCTAGGTTGGCATGGGTCAGTGCTCCTTAACCAGAGTAAGAACTATAAATTTCCATCGCTGAAACTTAGATATTTTCGCCTGTTTATCCATACATATACCTGATGATTCAATGAATGTGAACTAGTGAACAGTGCAGTATAATCTTGGACGCTAGAGGAGGCTGCTTGATTGGCTGAATTTTTTCGGGGTCAAAATTATCGGAGGCTTTTTTCTCTAATTGTCGTTGCCATTTTCTTTCGATCTATGTCTAGATACATGTAGGCCACTCGTAACAGGTACTGGTAGTGGAAAAATGTATTATAATGTAACGTTATTGTCAAATTTTCCCTCATGTAAAATCATGTAGAACCCGGTGAATTGCGCAATTACACTATCTGAAAGCTGGAGCGGAATTATTTTTGATTGACAGAAAAGGAGGTTCAGACAGAGTGCAGAGACAATAGGACATTGTGAAGTGTCCTTGTGCAATTTTTATGGGTAGTGCACAAATGGGGTAAATACATAAATATGCAAACATGACAGCGTTTAGAGTGTCTGTTTCTTCCCATTTCATAATTTACATTTCCACCAAATTCTCTATCTTTCATACCATATTTTTCGTGTGGTCACATCATTTCACATATTTTACTTACTGTGCAGAATTCACATAAAATTCAAATTTATAGCCCTTATAGTGGTAACACAGCCCCACATCGAAATAATACTCCATCGCTGAGCAGAAAACCGAACCTAGAATACGCTGCGACAGTATGGGATCCATATACAAAGAAAGACAAAGACAAATTGGAAAGGGTACAGAATCAAGCTGCAAGATTCTGTATGAACAACTATGTAAGAGGTGCTAGTGTCACGGAAATGAAAAGAAACCTACAGTGGACCTCACTTGAAGACAGAAGAAAGATGTCTAGACTATGCATGATGTACAAAATGACTAATAAACTGGTGGATGTCCCAACTACTAAGTACCTAATACCAGCCCAGAAGAGAACAAGAAATAGCCACGCATTCAAGTACCAGAGTTATCAACCAAGGATTGAGGTGTTCAAGAATTCATTCTTTCCTAAAACTATCGCAGAGTGGAACTCACTGTCACCAAGTACAGTAGGGGCACTGTCAATAGATAGCTTTAAACAATGTCTAGAGCTAGAAGTTCAAGGGTTAGGTGTAACAAGTCGATCGGTGTAATATAGCCAGCTGCCGCCGCGCCGCGTGCCTGCGAAGCTGGTGTGTTACGCCGAAAGGCGGTTATACCGGCTATACAGATACAGATACAGATACAGAAAAAGGTCTCTGAGTGGCATTGCTGCACAACTATGGCCCTCTGTGATGCATGGCGGATTTATTAAAAGATCTGTCCTTTAAATTTCATCACCCACCATCGTCTGATTGACAGCAGCAGCGACCGTCCTTGACTTGCGGAATACCTCAAAACTGCAGCGTGTCAAGTTACATGGCGTGATGACCGAACGTTCCTAGCCTCTACCAGGCTTCGGGAGGCGGTCGCCAAGAGTAGAAATCTGCCAAATACAGAGATAACATGCCAGGGGAGTTGGTCCGCTAGAGAGTACAGTTCCAGTGCGGCAAAATGTACTCTCTAGCGGACCAACCCCCCCCGGCATGGTATCTCTCTATTTGGCAGATTTGTACTCTTAATCCAGCCGCCTCCCGAAGCCTGGTAGAGGCTAGGACGTTCGCGCTCAGCTGACGACATCCGTCTAAAAGTAGGACGCCCGCATGGTACCGAACAGCTGATTCTCATGCCCGCTCCACGGCTCCGAAATTTGATCGCAAACAGTTTTGCATTTCCAAGTTGGCCTGTCAACGAAAGGGAGGACCATTTACTAGTAAATTGTGTGTCCAAAATATCGAACTACCGTATAGAAAAGGACCTCCTCTATAGCTATAGTATATTAGTAGCTGACAAGGCTATTATTATAAAGCTATTAAGAATTTTAGAATCAATGTGTTATACGGGTATGGTTCTTGTCAAAACTCCGTTAGACCTTTTTGTTTTTCACGTGAATTTGAATGTGGAAGAAATAAATTTGAGAGAAAGTTGAACTGCGTTGTCAAAATTGATAGCTGTAGGAAGAAATTACGACATTACAACTTCACATGTATCTGACAGTGTGCCACCAAGCAGCAAATATTTTTGCTATGGATCAATTTACTACTGGCATTATGCAAGCCTTCTATTTTAATAACGGCCCTTATTGCACATTTTATCCAACAGTATGACAGTATTTGGTCATAAAATACAGACCTTTTCTGTTCAGAATTTTTATTCCTAAAATTGTAGTCAAATGAGCCCTTTAAATCCACGTGAAGAGACCATGCTGAACCAGTCGTATGTCAAAGGTCATGTAGCCGCTCCAGCCGGTCTGCTGAAGACAGGTTAGTCTATGCAAATTACCCCTGTCCAACCCTGGAGGTTACACTGGCTAAGGACGAATACACCTCCGTACAGGAGCCGTCCGGAAATACCATCATCTACCAGGTAAGTCGTGATATTTCTGTGTTCTCGCGTTTGTAGTTATAGTTCACATCGTTAGGTTACTGAGGCTATGTTTGGAACTGCATAATATTTGTGATACCAGCATATGTTTCCGCATGTATGTGTACAGAACCTATATCCCTACCAGGGCAAGTTGTCTGGTGTCTGCTTCAAATGCAGGGTAAGAATAAACACGTTGATCACTTATGGGGGCATGGGCATGTGGTTTAATGGAATTACACTTGTTGGAAGTATTTATTGTTCTGAGAAACTGGTCGGAGTTGCTTCATATGGCGGCGTGTGTTTGCGTACTTACCCGGTAGTGGAGCAGTCATGTGTGTTTAACAGATTACAAATAGCTGCAGCCGGTCCGACGGTATGATCAGTGAAGCATAGGGCCGCCCAGCCTAGCTTGGGACGTCGCCTTCAAGTCTTTTGAATTTGTGCAGACATAAACAAATTCAAGCACTGTCTGGTGTACGAACTACACTATAAGCAATAGCTAGTATTATGATATAAACAAAGACTCTTAAAAACTTCGTGGCTCGAGATCAGTAAGGTGTTGTAACGTACTTATACTTGTTGCTGATTGTCGAGGAAAAACAAACAGTAGTATCAGTATTAGAACCAAATTAAGCCTTTCCCAATATCCCCGCAGAAGACCATTTCAACATTTCTGTAGCCTCATATTTTGTTTTCCTCCCATGTGAACGTGTTATATAGATATCGTTTAAAATAGATCCATAAACTTATCAGACTGATAGCGCTAACTACTCATTGAACTAATTATCAGGCGTTGGTTAGATTGCGCAGTAAATGTTGACATGGGCTTTTGTATTTACCAACGATATTTGTTTACGGCGCATCTCCGTGAAATAAGGGATTTACCATACCTCAGCATTTAACTCCGTCAATGGGTTGGCTTTTATCTGTTCATAAACGATAAAAATATGATATCTGTCGGTTTATACGTCCAGCTATCAACTCTCATCATTGTAAAAACCACAACACGGAATAACGTTCGATCACCGACAAAGAGTTTGTGTCTTTAAGAAATTCTACTACTGTGACGTTGTTGTCACCGATCTTGTCACCGGTCTTTCTTGGTCCTTTGTGTTCAGTACAGGACCCCCGCTGTGCGTGTTTGCAAGCATTTTTAAGGTGGGGCGATTTTTGATCCCACGCCGAAGGAGAGGTTGCGCAGATGTGAGTTTTACCTTTCCACTTCAGACATGGCCGATATTGCGTAAGTGCCCATTTCAAACAGAGTCACTGAAATGAACGAAGACAACAAAAAAGCTGCTAGGGGGACAAAACCTACACCACTTACCCCTGACAGGAAAAATCTACCTGTCACCAAAAATCCAAGGCCATAGCATGTGCAGAACAAAAGACACAAAAAACAGATGTTCTGCTGCAGTACCAAGGTCAGCCACCAGGAGGCCCATATTTGACATTGAACGTTGTCTTCCTACGAACCTACCAACATACCAAATATCCTAACGATCCATAAAGGCGTTATGAAGTTATGTTGACTACAAATGTGCAGAAACACAGACACACACGCACAGAGAGAGAGAGAGAGAGACAGACACACCAAAAACAATACCTCCATTTTTCATGGAGGTAAAAAAAACACAGGCATGTCTGATTAAATTCATGGCCATTTGTCAGCTTTACGAACACTTTTGAAAAACCGCGGACTACTGTCGACATGTCTGATGTTCACCGTACGGTCACCAGGATTTAACATCTGCAAATATTTGGTGACCTTGACAAACACGTGCGCTTCCTTCCCGGCTCTTCTGATCACAAGTTGAACAGTTTTCCACATGTTCTACAGATTTTCCCGCTACGTACACGTAGCAATTTGTTTGGACGCGCCACCAAGTCGGTGTATGGATGGAAAAGGAATGTATTTCCTACCGACTATTTGATTGAAACCACAGTTTTAATAAGCATAACCTTGAAATCTAGTGCACTTAAGTCAGAAACTACATTTCAGTGGCAGCGGCAATGGAGAAGCGACCGAAAAATATGTTTGGGGGCGTCATTATTTACCGAGCTATTCAAATTATACACTGTACCCCTCCCCCCCTACAAACATCCACATGTGCACTATATAAAAGTTAACCTGACAACAAAATCATCATCGTACCACAAGCAGTCTGTATCCATTGTAACAAGCATAACCAGAAAGACAAGTCGTTCAAGGCATACGGATCGATCGAATGCAGAAACTGCTTATTGCACAACTATTACTATTACACGCACAATTAAACAATGTTGAGAACATCAATCAAAGGTCTAGCAGAAAGAAAGAAAGGATGGATCCTTGACAAATTGGAACACCTGTTTAACTTCTTGAAAAGGTCAAACAGAAACAGCCTTTTTACTTCTGTTTGACTCTTTTTGAGTCAATTCTCAATTGGAGAACCTACTTTGGATAACTTTTCTGGAGATTTTGCATGGGTTTTTACTCCGATAAGTAGCAACATTCTATCTAATAACATCTTTACGAGATAATGATTATGAATATTTTCGTTCATAAACAGTTACTGAAGGAGAACAAAGATGGCGGACGATGAGAAGTCCGCCATGACACCTGCTGATGACGTCGAGGTCAAACAGAAGTTGACCTTGCGGGAGAAGCTGTGTTACGGAGTGGGCATGCTCACAGGGCCGATGATGATTGACGTACTGGGGATATACTGTAACGTCTTCTTGGTGGAAGTTGCTCAGGTAAGAAGTTTTATGCCGTAAGTTTAAACTGTAATTTCCCAACACAAGAATTCGGAATAGGACTTACCCAAATTTTCGACAGTACAATTCCAGGCTCAGTAGTCAAGCAATGAGCAATCCACTGCTTCCGTGACGAAGACGGGGGGCGGTACAGACTTTCTGCAACTTACGATCCACTGCTCACCGAGTCATGCGTGTTATCTGCATAACATTGACGGAAGCGATGGATTGCTCATTCCTTCACAAAGACTGGAGTTGTACAGTCGAAAATTTGGGTAAGACCAATTTCTTGGTCTAAAGACCTGTTGTGTCTAAGTGATTTAGACATCTTTTTTTAGTGACTGTTCTTTGTGATTGGTCCGTGTATTTTGGGGATATGGCTGTAAAAGTTGTTAAAAGTAGCTGTGTATGTATATGTACTTCTACCTGTACTTGCTTTCACGATTTGAATAAACAGTGTTAAAAAAAAAGACCAATTTCTTGTGTTGGAAATTAACCATTACAGATTAAACCTACGGCATGACGTCTTCTAACACAAATGATCTTTCAAGGTAAGGTAGCAATAGTATGATAGCTAACGTTTCGAACTTATTGGAGTCCTTAGGAAACAATTTGAACTGAATGAGACAATAAATACATTTTTCTTTTCCTCTAGATTCCACCCCTCTTTGTATCGGCTATTGTGTTCACCAGCAGGTTTTGGGACGTCATTGCTAACCTGATCGTAGCAAAACTTATCGACAAGACCAACACGAGATGGGGGAGAATGATGCCCTGGTAAGATGTTACTCCTGTCTTTCGTTGCTTCTATTTAATACATTTTTCTAGGATTTGATGTTGCATTAGTATAACTTTGTAAGAAGAAGAATTTATTGTAAACGAAAGTTTTCTCCCTTCAATTCGTCAAATTCATTTTTATGAAATAAGATTAATTTGTTTCTTTACTACCTACCTTAAGACTAATATATGAGCCCATAGTTTGAACATTTTAAAATTCATTTTGACGTGTGAATTGTTTCTATTGGTCGTTCTGGAAATAACATTGCCATATTTGGACTGTCTGTGCACACAGGGTCCTGGGAGCGGGAATCCTTCTCGTTCCCGTGTACTTCCTGTTGTGGTACGTGCCAGATTTTGGGACGAACGGGAAAGTGACGTATTACTTCGTCCTGTACCTGGCCATGGTGCTGCTACAAACGGTAAGTCACAAGACTCACCTTTAGTGTAACATTTAAGCCTTTATCGTAACCCTTAAGCATTTATTGTAACCTCTAAGCCTTAAGCATAGCCCTTAAGCCTTTAGTGTAACCTTTAATTAATAAGCCTTTAGCGTTATCCTTAAGACTTTAGTGTAACCTATAAGCCTTTAGTGTAAACCTTAAGCCTTAAGTGTAACCTTTAAGGCTTTAGCGTACCCCTTAAGCCTTTAGTATAAACCTTAAGTCTTTAGTGTAACCTTTAAGCCTTTAGCGTAACCTTTAAGACAAAATCATGACGTTCAATCGAAGAATAGGGACAAATTGTCAAAACTCGGTCCTGTAATTATTTTTCCATTTATGCATATTTTTCCATCCATGGATTGAAGTATTGGTATATATTCTTCCTGTAGTCGCATAATGTTCCATACCGGACCCTGGCCATGTACATGAGCGAGGACCCGAAAGAAAGAGATGCAGCTACGCTTTTCAGTAAGTCTTTCTAATTTCTCTCTTTGTTATTGAAGGTTTACAATTATCCACTTGGACCATAAGGAAAGTGCACCAAGTGGGAAAACATAGCTTGTATGTGTTTGCTTGCTTGTTTTTTTTTTGTTTGTTTATTTATTTATGAATCGCTCTCATTACTGTGATATATGAGATGGAATTTTTGTGCTTGTACAGGATCGCTGTTTGAGATGGTTGCTATCGTGGCGGGTGTGGCCATCCATGGACAGATAGTGGCGGCGTTCGACCCCAGACTGGAGCAGTGTAAGAACGTGACGAACGGCAACAGTACCGTCACTCTGCACTCACTCGAGAAGGCGGTGAGTTAAATATGTTACCGTCAGCTAGGTAGCTACATGTTAATGAAAATTGATATTTAGTCAACGGCAATTACATTAGGAAAATGCTTGAAAGGTAACATTCTAGCATGAAAGTATTGCACTCGCGATCGACACTTAGTACAGTGTGTTTTTATTTCGTAGAGCCAATGGTAGATCAACATAGCTTTTCTTACAGATCCCAATGCATGTTGGGACTGTGGGGAACGCAAAGGCAAAACCATAGTGCTCCGCGCGTCTCACAGCATGCAATGATCGAGATCCATGACATTTTTCAAAAGCTGCCTGGCTGGGAGCTTTTGAGGGGGTCTGCACGAAGTATCTCTGAATAGAGCCCTCTCCTACTGACACAACTATTTCTACCGTAGGAGACTGGCTACATGGTGGCAGCGGGTTCTCTCTGCGGAGTTGCAATACTGGCCACGGCCGCTGTGGTTTTTGGCGTCAGAGAGAGAAAAGGTATCGAAGACTTTCTTTCTGAAAACTTGTTCAAAGACTTGTAAGGGCAAAAAAACTGAAGATGTTGTATTAAAGATAAAACTATTTGATTCGCAATAAATTCTGAATTTTATGATAATGTTTGTCGGTGTAGTATCAAGAAAGTTCTTAAGTCTCTAACGTTATATCTATAACCGTTAAATACATTTCTTGGATACTTTTAGACGAATGCTATAATACAATGCATCTACTTGTACATTTTCAGACATAGTCCAGGAGCACGCGGATGCTCCTGATGAACCCTTCCTGAAGAGCATGAAGGAAGCGATCATATTTCGGCCTAATGTGGACTGTCTGGTCGTCTGCTTCTGCTTCGAGATGGCCATGCTGGTGAGTGCAAACTTACTGGACATTCATTTAAGTACATTGGGAACTTAACTTCGAATTCGTCCAAAGTTCGTTATTATTATTATTATATATATTCCAACCAAACCAACATTGACGAAAGTTTTTGTACACATTTTCCAGACTCTAGAAGGAACGTCGGCCTTATTCGTGCAATACTCGCTGGACTTGGTGGACCATGTGCAGAACGTTCTACTAGTTTTTGTGGTAAGAAAGCTTTATCTTGAAATTGAAGATTCTGAATTATTTGCTCTATGTCAATGAAATCGAATAAATGTGCGAAAACATGTACGTACATAGTAGTTACACGCGGACTGTACTATAACAGTTTTATAACTATAACAATCTATCAATCTGTTTATCCTAACGTTAACATTTTATTCTGCTGTTTGTTTTAGATCTCCGTCGTGTTCTTCATGCCTGTTGTAGACGTCTTGGTCGAGAAATTCGGAAAGAGAAAAACTTTTATGGTCTCTTCTTTGGTAAGTCTAATTTTCAACGGTTGTATCAATACTTCCTTCCATTTTGCGTTGCACCACTTTTGAACACTTTGCTGTTTGGCCTGCTATGGCAGTAGGCCTTATACATGTGGTTTGTGCCATTTCAGGCATCCATCCCGCTGTACATCGCGTGTCAGTTTCTCCCTGCCCGGAGTGTAGCGGCGACCTACCCCGTGGTCATCCTGCTGGGGTTCATCGGCGCTTCTCCTGTCTTCATTCCCTGGTACGTATAGCTTATTGGATGTTATCGGAGCATTTTAACTTCACATTTATGCAAATTAGGTCTTCTATATGCAAATATAGGCAAATTATGGTTTATATCTGTGTGCGTTTGTGTTTCTGTAATATTCGCAAAATCACGTACAAGGTCATTGCTGCAGCATTTGTTGTCTAACGGACCGAAAGAATTACAGTAGTATGGGTAAAGGGGTGAAGTCCGCCATCTCTCATGTCTTGTTTCCCACCGATGTTCCGTCCCAGGACGATGGTGACTGACGTGGTTGATGACTACCGAGTGAAGACGGGGAAACAGCTGGACACCATCTTCTTCAGCCTGAGCCTGTTCGCCTTCAGATTAGCCGCCGCAGTCGCGCTGGGACTCACGGCAATCGCATTAAAGTAAGGTTAAACCTAAACGATATTTCAATTTACTGTACACTCTACTCTACTCTACTCTACTCTACTCTACTCTACTCTACTCTTCTCTACCCTATACTATACTACTCTTCTCTTCTCTTCTCTACTCTACTCTGCTCTGCTCTGCTCTGCTCTGCTCTACTCTACTCTACTCTACTCTACTCTACTCTACTCTACTCTACTCTACTCTACTCTACTCTACTCTACTCTACTCTACTCTACTCTACTCTACTCTACTCCACTCCACATGACTAGGTGAGGTTTGATGCTTAAAGGGGCGTGGGAGAATGTGCTTGAATTCTCCATCTTTTACTGAACATTTCTGTACAGAATCGGCGGCTACATAACGGGTTACTGCGTTCAGCCGGCCGAAGTGGGGTCTACTCTGAGACTACTCATGTCCGTCGTCCCAATCGGCCTCACGCTCATTGGCCTGGTCTTCCTCTGGCGTTATCCAATCACAACCGAGAGACAGCAGAGAAACAAGGCAGCCCTGGAGGAGATGTGAGTCTAGTTTTTCTATACCTGTAATGTGATTTTTTTCTCGTTTTTTTTCCCAAAGTATACACATTATGCACCTTTTATGTATTAACCTCATATATCATAATCTTCATATTGTCAATATCTATATAAGATAAAGGGGGCTTATTTACAATCTTCTTTGTACTTCTACTTGTCTGTACTTATCTGCCAAAGAATACATATTATGCACATTATATACGCCGAATTATACACATTTTATGTATCAACCTCATATATTATAATCTTCATATTTTCAATATCTACATAGGATAAATGGGACTTATTGACGATCTTCTTTGTACTACATGTACTAATTGTCTGTACTTATCTAACATGATCTCGTTGTTCCTGACTACAGGAAGAAGGCCAAAAATCAAGAAGAATGTAAAAACGGCAAACTTCCTTCATCAAACGACGAGAAACAGCAAAACCAGCGTCTTCTGGACGTGAACAGTATAATAGACGCCATAGACGAGTCTGCGCGAGACACTGACTATGATGCTGACTTCGCCCTATCTTCTGACGTCGATCTTTCTCACCTGGAAGACTCGGCAAGAGACACAGACTACGAGACAGACTTTGGGCTGGCTTCTGACGTGGACCTTACTCTTCTCAAAGATTGCAAAGAAACAACGTTGTGATATATAAAAATGTTGATATTTCAGTTTTCTGTAAGGTACAAGAAAATTCATTCCGATTTTTGTAATGTTTGATTTTTAACAGGTGCTAGTGTTTTGCTTGGGACTCAAGAAATAGATTTGTATGAACATTAAAGTTTGG